AAAAAAAAAAAAAAAAAAAAAAAAAAAAGGATTTGGGTTTTATCCTGAAAGGCATGCAGGGTGAGTGAAGGGTTTTAAGAAAGAGGGCCATGGCAGTCAGATTTAGAAAGATTGTCATAACTATAACAAGGAGATTATACTGGATGTTGATGGACTGAGTGTGGGGAGAGCAGACAAAGCAGTACTGTGATATTATAAGTAAGAAACAAAGAGGACCTAAACAAAAGCCATGGTAGTGGAGTTAAAGAAGGGAGAAAAAATATTGAAGAGATCAACTTGACTTTACTTAATGATTGGTGCAATACAGGGAATGAGCATACGTTTCTGGACATGGCAGGCAAATGGACACTGATGCCATTAATTATGATGGGGCAGAAGAGGTTAAGGATGAGAGCAGGAAAGGTGTGACCACTCGGAGGGAGATGAGTTTCAGAATATGGATACTGCTTGGACATGTTCCTTTTGTTTTGCAGCCATGGTTGAAGGCCTTCAGGTCACAGTGCCTGACAAGAAGAAGGTGGCTATGCTCTTCCAGCCCACTGTACTTCGCTGCCACTTCTCCACATCCTCGCATCAGCCTGCAGTCGTGCAATGGAAGTTCAAGTCCTACTGCCAGGATCGCATGGGGGAGTCCCTGGGCATGTCCTCTACCCGAGTCCAGTCTCTCAGCAAGAGAAACCTGGAGTGGGACCCATACTTGGACTGTTTAGACAGCAGGAGGACTGTTCGGGTGGTGGCTTCAAAACAGGGCTCCACTGTTACCCTAGGAGATTTCTACAGGGGCAGAGAGATCACGATTGTTCACGGTACTAATGGCCTTGCTTTGAATCTAGGGAATGGGAGGGCAATTAGTTCCATTCTTCCCAGATACAAGGGCATGTGAGTCTCCCCCTTTCAGCCCCTTAAGAATCCAATTTTGCTGGAGGTGAGAGCAGGAAGAGCCCTAGCAGGTTGCTTTAGTGGAGTGGTAGGGGGCAAGAAGAGTGGACAGTGTAGTATGTGGGGAAGACAGAGACGAGCCTTGGAACAGTCTTCCCAGAGCCTGACCTTAAATCTGGGAGCTTATTTTCAGAATCAAATTGAAACAGGTTTTAGTGAGAGAAGTTCAACCAAATATCCTACACCTTGATGTCACTTTATGGTCCTTTCTCAAACCTGAAAAAGCAGAATTTCCCTAAGCTTCTCCACTGGGAGAAAGGATGCATGCTTGTAAGGGTGCATGCTTACTGAGCCAGGAGGGTGTATGGCCTGAGCCCTCAAGGCTTTGTATCAACTTCACATTTTCTCTTGCTTCCTAAATTTTGGATAGAAAAGTCCCCAAGAGACTGATAGGACCTATTTGATTATTCAAATTTTGAAGAATTCCTATATAGTCAGTTTATTTCCAAGAGTCCAGAATTACTGCAATTTATCTGGCTCTCAGTGCTGTCTCTGCAGGCCTAGCTCAAAGCCATCATCTATTCCTGAAGCTAGACTAGATCAGTTTGTGGCTGTGTTCCCATTCTCTCACTTCATGGATGCTTTTTGTTATTATTTTTGTTGATTTGGGTTTTTTTTGTTGTTGTTGTTGATTTGGTTTTATTGGAAAAGCAAACGTCTTTCAGCCACCATCCAGGTGAAGAAATAGAACACTGCAGATCCTACTAGGTCTCTCCCCTGTGAACCCCCTTTTTGCTCAATGCTTTTCTTTCCCAGGACAGAGTTTTAGAACTGGGTTCTTTTGTGTGTGTGTGTGTGTATGTGTGTGTGTGTGTGTGTGTGTGACAACAGATGCAGATCTTCAAATTGGAAAACTCATGTGGGGAGACAGCGGACTGTATTTCTGCATCATCACCACCCCTGATGACCTGGAAGGCAAAAATGAGGACGCGGTGGAGCTGTTGGTGCTGGGTAAGTGAAAACCACAGGCAGCCCTTCCATCATAGATGGCTTGCATTGACTGTGTCCTTCTCACACCTCCTCGCTGTGTGCATTGGCAGGTTGCATACAGAGCCATGTTAGACATGCTTTTTCTGAGTGGTAGCTGTATTTACAATGTCTTGTTCTTGAAGGCAGTGTCCCTACCATTGTAACACTTCCCCAAAGTTTCTTCTGCTTTCTTAGCTGTTTTCTCCTCCATTCCACTTTAACCTATAATCCTGACTTCTCACTTAGTTTTACTAGTCTTTTTACATGCTAATTGTTAAAGAAAATGCCAGAGGCCTTTGAAATAGGATCTAGACTAAGGAGAGAGAACTCTTTGATGTGTAAGCATCACTAGAGACTTCAGGAATCTGTTCCTACTCCACTTAAGACAGTCATAAGGCAAGATGGCTGGAAACTGGAGAGTCTAGTAATAAAAGATGCCCTGCTGAAAGGAATTGTTTGGGAGATGAGCTTTTGTGCAACTGGAGGGCAAATCTCTTGAAATCTAAAAGTGAGTTATTTTCAAAGCAAATGCATCTCATTTTTATTAATGTTAATTTCTTCATAACTGTAAACCCCTTACTTTTGTAAGGGGTTTATTTTTCATCTTTCATGGATTGGAGGAATGTTAGTGGGAAATGACCTCCTTGTACCAAAACTGAAAATGTAACACATATTTTGTATTCTGTAACTGGTCAATGGATAGGAAAATTATAAACAGCCAGGTATGGGAGCACATGCTTTTAATCTTAGCTGAGGCTGAGATAGATGGATCATGAGTTTGAGGTCAGTCTGGTCTCTATAGAGTTTAAGATCAACCTGGATGACATAGTGAGAACTTGTTTTAAAAAATAAAATAGAAACAACAAAAACAAAAAAGAAAATTAGAATAAAATATACAGAAATCAAGAAAAGAAACTGTATCAATTATAGGAGAAAAGGTGGTTGAGGATATGTACTTGAAGTCATTCTTCAAAATAAATTACATTTTTTGGCACTTCCAAAAAAATCAACTGACAGCAATTGGGAGATATGTAAAGTTGCCCTATTTTGAAGGCAAATGAATTTGAAGGTTGATTTTTATCCTTTGTGTGAAACTCAATCCCCAGGGGGAAAATGGCATTTTCTACTGGGAATTTTTAGTTCTGGTCTTTATCGTGATTGCATGACTTTGGCAAAACAACTGTTCTGATGTTTTAGCATTACATTTTACAAATTGGACTGAGGTAAACTGGTCTACCTTATTGGAAGGTTGACTTCAATCAAACATAGTGTTTGGTTCCAACATACAAAGTATAACTGCTGTGACTTGTAGAAGAATCAAAATATGACATATTCAAAAGGAAAAACGTAAAAGGTTTATATTGATGTTGTAAAAGAACACAGGATTTGAGCTTTGCTTTGGCTTTGTAAATCAGATGGGAATAAAAAAGATAAATTTCTGCTTAATCACACAACTCTAATAGCCGAGTCTGCAGGAACAAGTGGCTCATTGAGCCTGCAATTAGCTAATTGTGAACACAGTTATTTGGCCAGGGCAGCCATTTGTGGAGAAGTAATTGTCTGTGCAGGAAAAGAAGGCCAGGTAAAAAGCACATTCAATGATTTGGTCCCAGTGGTTTTGCAAATGGGAGGGAAGTGAAAAGAATGAAAGCTTTGGCAGGTGAAGATGTGCTGAAGTGCATGGTAGATGTTCCTCTGGATCAGAAAATTCAGTGCAATTTGGGTGGAGGATGCTGCTTTGGAGGCCAAGCGGGGTCGGCTCGGTGGGAGTAGGGGTGGTGTGCGCAAAAAATGCTCAAGGGACAGTGGTCACAGTGATGGGAGGTAAGGTGAAAAACAGAAGTCAGTGTTACTCTGAGAACTGCGCAGGAAAACTGGGAAGGCTGCAAATCAAATCTCACCCCAGCAAAAGCCATGTATTTAAATAGATACATGGTAGGTTCTTAGGGAAGAAAAAGCACATGACTGCCGTGTTCCACATTAATTAGAGATGTTCAAAGTGTGATAAATTTGTCATGGAAACGTTTTAGGGCAGACTTGTGTTATTTAAAGGGCTTAGTTTGAAATCTCTGAAAATTTTCTGGGTGTAAGAAGTATAAATACAAAATTCTGAGTCTTGTTTGTCTTGACATCCCTTTATAAAATGTTTCAAAATACTGTCACAGTTTTAAAAATTCAAACTGTTTGGTTGTTATATCCTGCAGCCCAAGGATATATATCTTGTTAGGTATTCCTTTTTATGTAAAACCAGAGAGCAGCCTGATTTCTGAGGCCAAGCCTCATGGCAATGGAGACATGAGTGGGAAGATAACTGGAGTCCACCGAGTGCTAATTACAACATCCGTGAGCCACTGACTCCATCACTGATCTTCACACAAGGAATGGTTGGAGGTTTTGTTCTGGTGAAAGAGAGCTTTGAATGGGAACCATGGGAAGTGTCTCCAAATACCTGAAATGAACTTGTTTACAAGAGGGGTTGGAAACACTCTGTCTGGTTAGGTACTGCTGAATCAGGAGTGGGAGATACAAGGGAAAGGAGGTTTGTCTCAGTGTGTAGAAAGAACTGTTAACAACTGGAGACATCTAGAGATAGAATGAGTGTTCTCAGGAGTAATGAGCCCTATGTCCCTGGAGGTATTCAAGAAGGTGGAACGTTGCTAATCAGAGTTATTATATAAGGAAGTTATGCATGGGAGAAGGTACTCAACTAAGTTACCTTTGAGCTTTATTTCAATTCTAAAATTCTTGGATTAAAAGTAGATAAACAGGAGTGATGATGAATAAGAAAATGACCCCCAAGGAATGAGTCTTCATTATAGAGACAAAAAAGGGGTACAGGTTGTTTAGAAGAACACAGGGTGATGACCATGCACAAGGAATCTGGAAAGAGTAAGCTGTGGTCTGGTTCAGTAGTCAGAGCTAACAGGACTAGTCTCATGGGAAGAAAGAAAAGAAAAAGAAAAGTAAAGAAACTCTTGATTATAGCTTGAATGAGTCAGCCACTCTAGCTCTCCTTGGAGATGATCACAAAATGGGGAGCAGAACACTGGTTTGAATTTTAGATGATGAAATATAAGGAAAGATGAGTTAAAGAGATAAATTAGAAGCAATTATAAGAATTTATTTTCCTCATTTTACTTACAAAGACAAGGCTGGAACAGTTAATGGAGCAAGACTATGAAGTGCTGTATATATAAGACTAAGAAGTTTGGACTTCTTCCTGAAAACCCTGGGGGAGCCAGTGAAGAAACCTTAACAGAGGAAGAGTAGATCTCAAGTTAGAATGATACTTAGCAGTGGGGCAGGCCATGTGTCAGCGGGGAGAGCCAGAGGAATGGGATGCTGCAGTAGCACGGGTGAGAATTATAGTATTCTGAACCAGCGTGGGGAATTGAAAGCAGACAACAAAAGTTCCTGAGAGAGAAGGCTTGCATGTTGGTGACTCATGTATAAAAAGAAAATGAGAGAGGGATGAATCAAACAGGATGCCATGATTTCTAATTAGTGGTGTAGCCAGCCATTTCATCAACTAGGATAGAGGTAGAAAAGCAAGTCAGAGAGGCAAGAGAACGAGTTTGGTTTTGCTGAATATAAGATGGCTGAGACACCAAGGTGGAGATGCTTTGCTAACAGTTGGAAATGTAGGTCTGGAACTCAGTGGAGAGTGAAGATTAAAGATAATGGATTGAGAATCATGACCGATACAGAGGCAGAGCCATGAAAGAATGGATGAGTCACCCAGAAAGATAATACAAAGTGAACAGGGCCAAGAACAGAAGCAACTGGTCTCATTCTAATTTTACTTTTTTTGAGTGATAACATTGTTACTGCATGTGAACTTGTCTTGGTTTCCTCCACAAAATGGGAGCCTTTTAGTAGCACTGGAGTATGAGCTCTTCAGAGTCAAGACCAATTCCTTTTCATCTTTCTATCTGCAATACCTAGCAGGGTGTCTAGAATAAAGAGACCTCAGTGAATGCTTTTTAAATGACAAATGGGCAGAATCTATAGCTAATAACTATATGCCTTTGAAATGTAGTCAGTGTTTGTTATGTATTTGATGACTATAAATGGCCAACACAATAAACATCTACAGTCTTGAGCAACAGAATATAGTTTAATCTCTTTGTTCATAATTATCTGGTTATTTAAATTATTACTAGTGATAGATCCACCATAGATTATGGTGCAAAGCAATACAAATAAGCTCCAGTTATTGTTTAAACAGGAAAGGAATTCATTGGGAGGCTATCAAAACTGAAAAAAGACTGGAGAACAGGTCTCAAAAAAAGGTAGTATGTTAGGGAAGCACAATGTCTTAGCTTCTACACAAACAACCCTCAAATATCGGTGACTTACCACAGTGAAAGTTTACTACTTCATCTTGTCATAGTCAGATGTGCATTAGAAGGCTGCTGTAGGTATCTCCTTTCCAAGTGAGTATGTAGAATTCCAGACATCTCGATTGTTTGGCTCTGTTGTATTGGAGACATTTGCCTCTAGTTGCAGAGAGAGACAGAGAGAGAGACAGACAGAGACAGAGACAGAGACAGAGACACAGAGAGAGACAGAGAAAGAGAGAAGAAGCTCTTGTGAGACGTTTTAGTGGCCAGATGTGGTTTGACATGAGATATTCCAGGGTCTGAGTAGCAATATTTTTAGGATTCCATTGCCTAAAAAAAAATACATAACTACTCAAATGTTACCTTCTGTTTTTTGTATTTTCCTGCTAAAGAATCATTCTCTAGAGAGATAGCCCAGTCGGTCCAGTTTGGTCAGTTGTCTGCTTGGCCTTGAGAGAGGAGGGGCTCTTGGTGAACAGTCCCTCAAGAAGCAGAGAAGAATGAACCCTCCCCACAGTGAGTTAGAACACTGTTACAGAAAAAGAAAGGATAGATGTAGGACACCAAAAACCAATAAATGTTCACCAACATGTTGCCATCACTACATCCACTGGTAACATTAATATGAAGTAATAATAA